AAGATTCTTGGTAAATTCATAACCTGATAAGTTTGGGCTTTGAGATAAAGAGGATCCTGGCCATTTTCTTTAGGGCCGGATTCCCCAAACTAAGAATGTCTATGTACAAAGAGGCCATAGTCTGATGACATCCTCGGATTATTAGGCTAAAGCCGACAAAAGACTTCAAGTCAGGCTAGACAGAATCTGTCCTCTCCCGTGATTACTTTAATATAAACTCCCTTTCCAGAAGTATAAATAACAAAAATTCCCTGTGAGCTAGAGCCTGTGTATATAACAGATGGCAGTACCTAGCACTGAGTGAGAACCTCAGCTAAAAAATATATTGAATAATTTTAGGAAATAAGTATGTTTCAAGAAATTATGAGCAAAATTAGGGCTGGAAGAATATAAAGAGAATAACACACTTTGAATAGGAAGATGGGAAAAAAGAATGAGGACTTGAGAGATCTGTCCATCTCTGCTGAATAGTGGCATTCCATGTTTCTCAGAACGAGGACTTCAGAGATCTGTCCATCGCTGCAGAATTGTGGCAGGCTATGTTTCTCAGAACGAGGACTTGAAGGAGAGGGCTTTGGTGGGGGGCCTGGAGCTGCAGTGCCAGTATGAGAGTGGTAGCTTTGCTGAGTTCAACATCTTCCTGGCCACCACTCATACAAGGTTACTTACTATAAACAATGTCCGTTCAACACAAGCAAACTTTATTATTATTATTATTATTTTGGTTTTTCGAGACAGGGTTTCTCTGTGGCTTTGGAGCCTGTCCTGGCACTAGCTCTTGTAGACCAGGCTGGGTAACTTTATTTCCACCTTAAATGCTGTGAAAAGATGACAGAAAACTCCAAAGGAAGGAGGGCAACACATAAGGAAACAGTATTTATGGGTTGCAGTTCTTTCTTAACAAGTACTTAAAAGGTGAAATAGTGACGAAAGAGAAAAATCCAGGGAGCCTAAAAAGTGCACAAAACATGTCCAGTAGGTGGTGTTTAACAAGAAGGAGTGGAACTACGATGGTCATCTCCCAAGGAAGTAAAGATTCTTCCTGGGGGTTCTGTCATTCCTGAGGAAACTTTCTGTTCACAGTGGAGTGCTTCATTCTGGGTGAAGATGTAAGAAATTCAATAATGTCAAGAAGTACAGAGGAGCCATTAATTTCCAGGCCTGGCTATGGGAATCCTCCTAACACTGTGTTAAAGGAGTTGGATATTTTAGGTGAGAAGTTTTTATCTTAGTTATTCAAGGACTAGATAATATCTTACATGCCTGTGATCTTGTCTAGTGACCTGCAGCAAATGCTTGAGTAAGCGAATCTCCTATACTGTACAGAGGCTCCGTAGAGGACACCAGCATTACAGCACAGCTGATACCAGACGGGCATGGCAAATCATCTTCTCCACACCACAGGCAATGCCAAGCAAGAAGACCAGCACTGGGGTAGAAGCAAGGAGAGGAAGCTGCCCAGGTGAAGGCATGAAGACTGAGGAGGAGGAGGAGTGAAGAAGGCGTTGGAGGCTTGCTAGCAAGAGCCATTCATTTGCCTTGGGACTTTAAGGAACCTAAGTCTCAAGTTCCTCATTCATCTTGGGACTGGCAAGGAATTTATGAGAAAGTAACACATGAAAATATATTTGCCTGCTTAGTGGCTAAGGCTAAGTTAGTCCCTGTTTATGTTTGTCAACACCAGGGCTCTCAGACTACCACTGTATCACTGGGCCTGTGCTCACAGGTACATTTCCAAGTGTACAAAAAGCTTTTCCAACATGATGTCTTTAATGGGGGGGGGGGGCTACAACAGTCATCTCCCATTGAAGTACAGGCTGCTTCTGAGGGCTCTGCTATCCCCAGGGAAACATTCTCTTCCAAGTGAAAAACACAGCCCTAGAGTGCTACTGACTCACATGCTGAGTTCAGGCTTATACACTGAATTAAGATACCCAGCAAGTCCCACTGACAGTCTATGAGAACGAAGACGGGAGTGTGAAGACGGAAGGTGTACACATTAATGTATGTTCCAGGCCTGATTCCTCATTTCCTAAAGATGCTCTAGGGCATGTGGACCTGCCTAGTCTTCTCCATCTCACGAAGTGCCCCTTTCCCCATTTTTTATTTAAATAACGTTTTTTGTTCATTTATTTTACATACCAACCAGTTTTCCCTCCCTCCTCTCCTCCCCTCCCCTTTCCCATCTACCCCCTCCCTATCCACTCCTGACAGGCCTCCATGGATTTGCTCAAAGCATGGTGTATCACACTGAGGCAGGACTGAGTCGTAGAGGGTTGAGGCAGGGCCAGGTAATCGTAGTCTAGCAAGGGAGAGGTCCTGCTCTCACTGTTAGAAGCCTTACTAAGAGACTAAGCTACACGACTGTCACACAGAGGGCCTAGGTCAGTCCCATGCAGGCTCCCTGACTGTTGGTCCAGTGCCCACGAGCTCCTGCAAGTTCCGTGGGTTACACCATCATGAGCCCCTCCCAACTACATTATTTTAAACCCTAGTCAGAAAGACTAGAGGTTGCTGGTCAGCCAGGTGTCCATGTACTCTCACTTCCTGGGGGACCCATCTTAAGACTTCCTGTTGTGAGATATTTACAGAGCTTGGACTTCTCTTCTCAAACAGCTGTTTTAAAATTGTTTCTAATGAAGTTTACACAGGCAAAAAAATCCAAAAAAAAAAAAAAAAAACAAAAACAAAAGCAAAAAGCCGAAACAACAACAGCAAAAAAACTTGTTTGGCCACTGTCCCCAGTGCCTAGCAGAATCAAACATGAGGTAAGCAATTGTTAAGCTGCTAAAAAATTTTTAAAGAACTATTTAGCTGTTAAAGAATAAAGGATATAGTTAAATAGATTTTAAAGCATTTATAAAATATATGACAATTTAGTAGAGAATAAAAGGCATAGGGAAAGATACCAAAATATTCACCAACATTTTATTTACACTGTAGGGGAAATGTTTGCTTTCTTCTGTATACTTTTGTTAAGTCAGTGTCTTGCTGTGTGCCTAGGCTGGCTTGAGATTTGTGATCCTCTTGCCTCAGCTTCTGGAGTGTTAGATTATAGCTCACCATGCCTGGTTCTTCTTTATACCTTTTAAAATTATGCTTTCTATAAAAAACACAAATCATCATAAGAAAATTATGTTTTGAAAGAATCACTCAAACCTGAGCCATGGACAAAGCTACGCACAGTCATGTTCCTAGTAGCTTTACACAGAACAGCAAAGGCACGTGCTACTGTTTGTGTGCACAGGAAGAGCTGTTAGAACCCCTTCCCTCTCTGAAATACAGCTAACAGTTTTCAAAGGTGATGCGGGACGAAAATGTTTTATGGGTGTGGGTGGTGTGCTTGTTAATCCCAGAACTCACAAAGACAGAGGCAGGAGAGATCATTTACTTAGTGAGTTCCAGACCAGTTAGGGCTACCCTGTCTCAGAAAAGAAAAAAAAAGTTTGGGTGGTGGTGGAGCAATGACTTAGTGATTAAGAGTGCTTGCTACTTTTGCAGGAGACCTGGTTTTGATTCTCAGCACACACACACGACAGTACATAGCCACCTGAAACTTCACTTCGAGGGGATTTGAGTCTCCACAGTTACTAAGGACACAAATGGTGCACATACATACATGTAGCCAAACCATTTATACACATGGAAAAAAGGAACATTTAAGAACACACAAAAAGGGATTGCTTGGCACTTGGATGAGAGACCCCCTAGGAATACTGGGCTGTAGGCTTAAAAAGAAGAAGAAGAAAAAGAAAGAAATAGATAAACCATATAAAATTCTTGCCAGGTGGTGGTTGGTGGTGGTGTATATATTTAATCCCAGCACTCAGGAAGCAGAGGCAGGAGGATTTCTTGAGTTCCAGGACAGCCTGGTCTACATAGTGAGCTCCAGGACAGACAGGGCTACACAGAGAAACCCTATCTAGAAAAACCGAACACACACACACACACACACACACACACACACACACACACACACGCCCAAAGCAAATAAACTACAGTCATGTCCTGAAATGCATCAATTCAAGTGTATGATTTCAACCTTGTAAGTTTTCACTGCTATCTCTCCGGCCTAGCCAGGCCTTCTGAAATTTCTCTGCACAGCCTCCAGCAGTGTGGAGCTAGGCAAGGGCTCTACTATCCTTAGGGAGCGCGGCCCTGGACCCAAGTCAGGGTTTCCTCTAATCTTGAGCTTTATTAGTCTAGTTTGATCTTATCACAGACTCTCTTTTGGCAGATTTTCAATAATTTCTTTAGTGTTTTTATGTATGCTGCTATCTTCGGGCAGTGCTGGAGACAGAACCTAGGGCTGCACACACGCCAGTCAAGTGCTATACTGATGAGCCCCATCCAATTTATTAGCAGTGTATTTTGAGAGAGCCATGTGGGCAGTTTCCTGAAGCAGACCCAAGGACTGCAAAAACACTGAATGTAAGGTAGGAAGTCAGATAATCAAACAATGTTTTAAAGAATTAACTAAGGCATGTTGACCTGTTTTAGAAAGCCATAACTAATTTCAACTAATATCATGTTCTTTTGAATAGGGTTTGCTACTGTTTTGGGATAAATGATTATTAATACAGAACCATAGGGAGTGAAAATTTCCCACCGAAACAAATCAGAAATTCCAAGAAATTTCAAAATTAACCCTGGCAAAATAGGTCTTCATTATATATACATATAATACTGTTTGAGTTCAAACTTTCTTAGTGAGTTCCAGACCAGTCAGGACTACACAAGACTACACCCTGTTTCAGGAGGAAAAAAATACACACACACCCTTTAATGGGTGGACTCCCTTTAAACCCAACTAGTTTTCTCTTAATTTTTCAATGACAATCATGTATAAGTGCAGGAGGACAGAGAATGAAAGAATGCTAATTGCGTATTGTGTCCCACTTCTTTCCTAACAGAATTCTGACTTTACTCAGGGATGTGATCAGAAGCAAGCTCCAGGTTCTTTAATTAAAACAGCCTGTGCTTTGTCTATAAACAGGGCAATGGACGAGGAATCAAACTACCAACAAAAGGTGAAGACAGAATAAAATTTAACGAAGCATACATGAGCACATTATGACCCATGAATTAACCTTTATCGGGACTATTTTCAATTTACAAATAAAGAAACTAAAAGCTGAGGTTAAACGATTCACTGGCAATGAACGGATTCAAACCTTACCCCTTCTCTAAACTTCCGCTCTCAGTTCTCTGATAGATGCTACCTTTCTAGAAAGGCAAATAATCATTTATCTTTTGAAAACCCCAGATGCAAAGACCAAATTGTCACCAGGCACAGTGATACGTGCCTTTAATACCAGCACCAAGGAGGCAGAGGCAGGTGAACTTCTGGGAATTCAAAGCCAGCCTGGTTTTCTACATAGTTAGCTTCAGGACAGTTAGAGCTACATAGAGACCCTGTCTCAGCTGGAGAAGAGTGAACACCAGGACAGTCAGGGCTACACAGAGAAACCCAGTCTTGAAAAACAAACAAATAAAATCAATATTATCCATGCTTTTATTGTAAGACCCACCTGGCAGAATACTGTCCAAAGTGTGGGAAGCTACTACACTTTTGATTCAATTCCCAGATTCTTCGGGTGGTATCAACATATCATGAATTAATAAGTAGCGGTACCATGCCTAGTTTGTAAGTTGTTACCTTAGGCATCTTTCTTAATACAGTCCTGAAGGCTTAACATTATGTATGAGGATCAAAACAGGAAAGAAAGAGAAAAATGAAAATTAAAGTTGATAATCATTACTGCTGCTTTGCCATTAATACAACCAAAATAAAATTTCATTCTAAACAAGACTAGTCTTCATTTTCAGTATACAACAGAGCCTCAGCAGCGTCTTTCCAGTGGCGACAAAATTACATGACTAAGTTATTACATCTCAACGTTCACACTGCCAATGAATTTTCGTGTGTTAAGAAAGAATTAACAGCTTGATACAGAGTAAAGGGCTTTTGTGGAATTTCTTGAATAAAGCAGCTTCACTCTGCCCCAAATAAATATGCAAGAAATCAAATGACCTGCAAGAGACAAAGAATGAGCCACCCTGGACTGCACCATCCATCCTCAGGAGGCTCTGTCCAACACTTAAGGTGAAGAGGAGGTGGCTTAGCTTCTTCATAACCCAGAGAGGGTCTGCAGCAATCCATAAAAGTCCGGAGAAGCCATGGACGTTTGACCCCGTTCGCTCGCTGAGGTCGTGGATCACTCCTTATTTGCTAGCTCACCTCTAAGTAAATGATCGAAGCTACTGATTGCTCTGCAAACCTCCTGCTACCCCAAGTACAACAGCAATCGACCCTGTGAAGGGTTGGTAGATCCAGGAACATTCACGTAACCTTGCTGGATCACTACCACTTCAACAACCCATCGCCCCTACCAAAAGAATAGTAAGAGAGAAACACCTGTCGTACTGCCCCTCCATAGCCGTGACCACGGCGCAGATGTCCACTTTTTGTCTCGACTTGAGCTAAAACTATCTCAAAAAGGGGGGAAAGGGTCCAACTTCCCGCTAGACGGCTGACAGCAAGACCCGCGCCTTCCGACTTCCGGGTGCGCTGGCGGTCCCGCTCATCACCTCGCTTCCGGAAACGAGCCCCGCCCCCTGGCCCACGCACTAGAACCGTGCGGACCCCGCCCCTTCCGGGGGGCCGGCTGTTGAGGAAACAAGCCGCGGTCCCGGCCTCTGCCTCCGCGCCCACTTACCGCAGCGTCAACCCCAGAGTTACTTTCGTTTTCCGAGGCCGAGCACCCCGGCCCAGGTGAGGAAGGACGGGCGGTGGGCGCCAGGGGCTGCGCCTCGCCGTGGCTGCCGGGCCAGGACTGCACCGGGCCCCGCCGAGGATGCGACCGAGTTCGGCGCTGCAGCGGCGCCCAGCCACGCCCGGGCTCCCCGCGGCCTGGCGCCGCGAACACCGCGCTCCTCCGAAGGCTCCGCACGGCGGTTCGACCCCCGGGAGGTGAGCGGCCCCGACACCCGCGCTCCCGCCACCTGCGCTCCCGAGACCGCTCCGGGGGCTGCGCGTCCTCCTCGACCGGCGCTCCTTACACTGGGCGGCGCTAGGCTGTGTCGGCCTCTGTCTCCGCCTCTGCTCACGCCCCGGGGCGGTGAACGTGAGCGGGAACTGGCGGACAGCGGCCGCGTTCGCACGACGATCCTGGATTCGCCTTGTTTTCCGGGTGATTCTGAGAGCCTGTCAAGAGGTGTCCATAGCTGCTGTCAGGGCGGAGTCAGCCTGGCCCGCAGGAAAGCACCGCGTGCGACCTCGGCGATCGAGAGCTGGGTATATCGTTCCTCTGCCTTGGCGGGCTGTCGAGGAAGAAATGTGATTATTTTTGTAGCCCTCTAAAATGGTAATTGTGAAATCTCAAGAAAAAAGATAAAGTGTCACTAATGGTGTCATTAAGCAGTTGCACCATAATACAACGATCACTTATTGTCAAAAGATAATTAGTCGAGAGAGGATTACAAAAGACACAAAGAAGTCTTACTGAAGCATACACAATCACCACCCTAAGAAAATCACAGCCCTTTAACAGATACCTCGCCATGCAGATAAGCATTACAAAGATACTCAATGTCATAGGGCATTATGGGAAACTCAGCTTTGATGTAAAATACTTATGAAATGTCCAAAATTTCCAACATTGGCAAATGGAAGGAATGCAAAACATCTTTATGGTTACTGTATGACTTAGCAGTTTCACACACTGGTAGTACCCAAGTGAACATAAGTCTAATGTGCAGACACATGGACCTAAGTTGTTTTTATTTTTTGTTTGAGGGTGTGCGTGCACGCAAAGCTGCACACATGTGAAGGTAGTAAGTCCAATTCAGTAGCTCTCTACCATGCGCTTTTTTTTTTTTTTAAGCAATTAAGGCTTCACTTTTAGCTTGTGGAATAGGCTAAGCTAGCTGACTAGTGAGCCCAGAAACCTGCGTGGTTTTCCATCTCTGGCATTGGCTTCAGGAGTGTCGCCATGGTCAGGTTTTTTACACGGGTTCTGGGAATTAATTTCAGGTTCATTATGTTTGCATGCTTGCTGAAGGAACTGTATTCCCCAGATCCCTGTATCGAAGTTGTGGTTTGGTTTTTCTTTTAAGTTTTTTTTTTTTTTTTGAGTATGTATACATGAGTGTAGATTCCCCCAGAAGCCATAGAACAGGTCCCCTGGAGCTGGAGTTAGAGGTGAGCTGTCCAATGTAGGTCTGCGAATGAAGCGGGTCCTCTGTAAGAGCAGTCGTGCTTTTTAGCAACCGACTCATATCTCCAGCCCCTGTATCTGAATTAATTGTTAATGGTTTATTTTATATATATGAGTGTTTTGATGGCATGTTTGTGCATTGCTTTAGTGCCTGGTGCCCATGCAGGTCAGAGGAGAGCATCGGATCTCCTAGGACTGGAGTTAATGGATGACAAGTCCTTTGCAGGAACAACCTCTGAACCATCTCTCCCAGCCCTGTATCTGAATTTTTGCAGCAGCTTTTCATAATTGCCCAAACTTGGAAGCAAATGAGTTACTTTTCAATAGCTATAGTAAATGGAATACTACTTGGCACTAGAATGAATTCTAGAATTAAAGAATTCGGGGTGTTTTTTGTATATCTCTAAGTAAGAGAAGTCAGTCTTTAAAATATGACATCCTCAATGAGGAAAGCTATGGAGATTTTGTAAGGCCAGTGGCTGACAAGAGTTTACAATGAAGAGGGATATATAAGTAAAGCACAGGGGATTTTTTTTTTTTCTTAACAGACTGAAACCATTTCATCTGACTACATGGATGCCTGTCATGGCATGCATTGGTCTGGGCACTCCAGAGTGGCAGAACCAAATAGGAGGGTGGGGATAGATTTTTTTTTTTTTTTTAAGAAAAGGGTAACCGGACTAAAATGAGAGAGACTGAAAAGTCTGGTGTGGGTCTATAAGCTGAAGACCTCATGTTGCTGGTAATGGTTCATTCTTAGACTTGAGATCTCAGAATTAGGGAAGCTGATGATGTGCCTTTATGTGTGTTGTTAGGTTTTATTACTGTAAACATCTTACTAGACCTAACTTCACAAATTATAAGTTAACTTGAGAGAGGAAGAGAGAGCCAGCAGTTCTCTGCTACCTCAAGCATTAACTAGGCTACTTGAGATGTATACCCCACGAATAAGGAGGTACTATTATATTGGTAATCTCTCTCTCTCTCTCTCTCTCTCTCTCTCTCTCATTTGCTTTGTCTTTCTAGGGATTTATCAAAACTTCTGATCTCTTAAAAAGTTAGTATTTCGTTTTCTATTTTCAGGTTCATTGACTTCTACTATCTTTTTATTTGTTTTGTTTTTGTTTGCTTGTTTTTGTTTTTTGAGTCAGGGTTTCTTTGTGTAGCCCTGGCTGTTTTGGAACTAGCTCTGTAGAGCAGGCTAGCCTTGAACTCACAGAGATCTGTCTGCCTGTCTCCCAAGTGCTGGGATTATAGGCTTGTACCATCACTGCCCAGCTGACTTCTACTATCTTTATTATTTTCTTCTGCTTGTGGTGGCCCTGTCCTTTTCCTTATTTGTTAGTGTCTTAGTCTAGTTTGTTGTTTTAAGACTTTTTTTTCTAATAAAAACATTTTAATGCTGTAACTTCCTTTAGTCTTTTTTACTCACATCTCAGATGTTTTCATATGTTTAATTTCTACATTTACTCAATTAAAATAGTATTAAGACTTTTTCTGACCCACAATTCATTGATATTATTTACTTTCCTAGTATTTAGTGTTTTTTTTTTTTCTTTTGAGACAGGGTCTTACAAAGTAAACCTGGCTGACCTTGAACTCAGAGATTTACCTGCCTCTGCCTTCTGGGTTCTGAGATTAAAGATGTGCACCACCATTCAGGCTTCCATTCTCTTTTCATTGGTTTCTAGTTTAGTTTTGTATTAAAGTAGAACGTATTTTGTGTAATTCCAATTTTAGTTGGCTGTGACTCAGGATGAATGGTGCACATGTACCTGGAAACTGGGTAATTCTGTTTTGCTGGGTAGAATGCTCCATAACTGTCAATTGGATCCAGTTGGCTCATGATATTTTTCAATAATTTTATGTTTAAAATTCCAACATTTTCAAACCTATTGATTCCACTAATACATTTAACATGGATGACTCTCAGGAGCACTCTGCTAACCAAAAGAAGCCAGACACAAAAGATGGAAAATTGTATAATATTAATATTTTATCTATTGGGCATTACAAAAAGATCTATGGTAACCCGGGACTGGGATGAAAAAAGAGACCATAAAATTGTGGAGAACTTCCTAAGGCTTGTTTCAGAAATAGTGCGGTTAATAAATACCCTGCTCAAAGTTGTGGACATTTTGCTATGCTCATGTTGTCTTTATCTTACGTTTTATCTGTTGTAGGGAGGGGCTGCTTGTTCTTCCCGGTGCCTGGCTAGCTTAGCCCCAAAATAACCACACAGAAATTGTATTAATTAAATCACTGCTTGGCCCATTATCTCTAGCCTCTTATTGGCTCACTCTCATATCTTGATTTAACCCATTTCTATTAATCTGTACATCACCACGTGGGAAAGATTCAGCATGTCTGACTCCGGTGGCTCCATGGTGGGTCTCCCCTATCTGACTGTCTTCCTCCCAGAATTCAGTTCTGTCTTCTCTGCCTACCTAAGTTCTGCCCTAACAGGCCCAAAGCAGTTTCTTTATTAACCAATGAATGCAACACAAAGAAGGACCTCTACACCATTCATCTTCACACATTTTGCTAAGCTATTGTTTACGTCACATCTGACAAGGACAAAGATCTTTTATTGTCGCACTTTTATAACTGCTACAATGAATGTATTGTAAAGTTTCTGTTTTAAAGTCTATCATGTGAGTATGCTCTTCTGTACAAATATCAGAAAAGAAGACCCAGAACTACTGTTCAGAGATGAGTAATATCTACTTAATATCTGGGTTAGAATCTTTGATTTGTTCCTTTCCATGCAGGTTGAGACTTACTTTGAAAGCCAAATGATTTTGGATTTCATTATGGATTCTTTTGGTTGTTAGGTAGGGCTGTGTGTTAGTCAATATCTATGAGGAATGCTGCTTGTTTTGTTTATCTAGCTACCAACATGGTGAGTGTCAGGCCACACAGGTTTGATCTTTGTTTTCCATGGGCATATTTATTCAGTGGCCCAAATACTACTTTTTTTTTTGTTTTTTGTTTTTTTTTAGTTTAGTTGTCAGTGTCTTTGGCATGCTGATTTAGGTCAGTTCCATACAGATGAAGCTCTGAAATGATCCTAGATATCAATATAAACTTTATAGTGCTGCTTTCCTCTGCTTGTTTTTCTTCCTTCTGGTGGTCTACCTAGTACTTTCTGCTTCTAGGAGACTTATATTTCCAGTCTGCATGCAGAAAACTGGGGCTTTTGCTGCCCACTGTCACTTGCTTCCATAAGTTCACCCTGTTTGGAGCTAAGATAGAGGAAGAAAGAGGAAAGCAGGAAGATTTGGTTCAAGCCCTTGCCAAATTGAAAAGTTTTACGTCTTCAAGGTTTCAGCTTTTGTGGGCTCCATTTGTGACTGCAGAATTTCTATAGTCATGACCATTTCAGCTCTTATAAGGAAATATTTAATTGGGGTTGGCTTACGTTATCATCATGGTGGGAAGCATAGCAGTATGCGGGCAGACACTGAGCCAGAGAGGTAGCTAAGAGTTCTACATCTGAATTGTCAGGTAGCAGGAAAAGAGAGACTCTGGGACTGGCTTGACCTTCTGAAACATCAAAGCCCATTCCTGGTGACTTACTTCCTCCAACAAGGCCACACCTCCTAATAGTGCTACTCCTTAAGGGCCTCTGGGGACCATTTTCATTCAAACCACAACTGGTGATTGAAAGAAAATCCAAGGAACAATTTATTTGGTTCTTAATCCAGCTAATCTAGAGTTTATAGAAAGAAAGACTAGACACTGTTGTGGGACTCCAGGGACTCCAGTTTACTCTTTGAGACTGCGCTTCCTTTGAAAAATAGACAAGAATGGAAAGCAAGCCTACAGCCATTCTGGCAGGTGTAAGATGGAATCACAAAGTAGTTTTGATTTGCATTTCCCTGATGGCTGAAAATGTTGTCCATTTCTTTAAGTATTTCTCAGCCATTTGGGATTCCTCTATTGAGAATTTTTAGATCTGAACCCCATTTTTAAAAATTGGATTATTTAGTTTGTTGAGCTCTTTTTTTTTGCCTTTTAAATTGCTTTATTAGTTCAATTGATGAAAAAAGATTTCCTTCTAAACCGCATTAAATTGTCATGCTGATAGGAATGTTTAGAATTAGATGCAACAATAAAACATGTTTACATAGATAGAAACAGGTGGAAACACCGAAAGTTTACAGAAAAAGTACCTCACTAAATACCAGCTTGTAAAACAGAGGCCACTTTAATAGCTCAGTGAAAAACTGCTATTTTAAGGTATGAGGCAAAAGTCATAGTGATTGTCAGGTTCCGGTGTTTGGAAACGCCCATAAGGCCTCATCTGTTGCTCCCTAGTCTTTCTCTTGATTTCCATCACCTGCCCTACAAACTTCCCAGCATCCTCTCCCCCTTCCTTGTGCTCAACACGTCTATTTGGTATGGCCCATCGAAAATTAGGCACAAGTCGCCTGACTAGTCCCATTCTGGCATTTCCCCCGGGCTTCTTGTTTTTAACCTCTTCCAAGAGCTGCAATTCTTCTTCACGTTGCTTGGAGGCCTTCCTTCCTGCGTGGTCTTTTTCATCGTTCTGCACAGCGAGATCTTTTAAGACCTGTTGCTCTTTGGACGCCATGATTCCTGGGCCTGTCTTTGCCTTCTCCTTGGGGGCGATGCTCACCACCAGGTGCGCTGCGAAGCTGGACTCCTGGGACCTGCTCCTCCTGCTCCTGTTGTCCGCGCTGTCGGGACCCGCGCTCTGCGCCAGCAGCTGCGAGACCGGGAACAGGTGCCTGGCCGGGATGGCGGGCTGGAGGGAGTGAGCAGGGGCAGGTCCAGAGACCCGGAGAGGGGCGTGAGCCTCTTGTTGAGCTCTTAATATTTTTTGGATGTTAGTTCTCTGTCAGATGTAGTTGGTGAAAATCTTTTTTCTATTCTGTAAGTTACCCCTTTGTTCTATTGTATCCCGTTTGTCGAGTTTGGACAGCATACTGTCAGGAGTTGAGGTAAGGGTAGTTTCTTGTCCAGTGGAGCAAACTCCATATGGAAGTTCTTTGATGCCCATCATCGTCTTGGAAGTAGATTGGTGCTGTCAGGAGTAGACATGTCTCACTGTCATGGAAAGTCTTATGTTATTATATAACATCTTAAATGCCATATTCTGTAGATCTCTGAAGTGTTTGGAGACCACCTATCTACCTAAAATATATGTTTAACCTTAACACAGCTACAGGTTTGATTATTATAAAGGATTAACTACTAACCTGCATTTTTAAATTATCCTTAATAGTTTATAATAAGAGCTTTCAAGAACTAGAACTTTACATTATATTTTTTAATGAGCTGTTACAAAGGTACAGTACCTTAAGAGTAGAAACATATATACAGTATGTCCTAACAAAAATAACCTTAAATTTGTTTCAATATATAAAAATCCATACCAACATAAAATATGTGAGATAGTTACTTTTTAGTTTAAAAGTAGATTCAATAATCTACCCATTTATCCTATTATTCCCATATTTCCCATCTTTAAAATCTTTTTAGAAAAAGATCCCTGAATTTTGCCTTCTTTACTTCGTTTCCTCCCTGACCATGACAAATAACAACTTACAAACAAACCCTATAAATAATTATAAATACCCATAACCAATTGAACAGCCCCAAATCACCCATCCCACCTCTTGGTAATGTGATGTTGTATTCTTAAAATTAATTCCTGTTGTCTCAGGGTGATGGCTTCTTTAAGTGGCTCTGAGAAAATTGAGGTAATGGTCATGTCCTAGGAGAGCTAGCTGTTGTCCAGTCTTGGTGTGATGGGAAAGTGCAGGGATTATCTGAAGTCCTGGCTGGAGTAGCCTATGAGACTGGACCATCTTACTTAGCAGCTTTGAAGTTGTTCTGGATGCAGATTTTTGAAGGAACTGCAACAGAGGTATTCTGAGAGACTGGATCACCTGGGCTACTTGTCCTCATTGCTGTCTGGTCCTTTTTTCTGAAAACACACAAACTTCTAAAGGTAACACATATCTGCATTAACACAAATATGGAATGTGAGATGTGCACAAATCAGCTATTCTCTGTTCTGTGTTTGAGCAGGTAAAAGACACCTGTCAACTTTATAATTCCATTTTGACTGCATAACCGAACTGTAATATAAATCTTCATCCATGTCATATGAAAGAATGGTATTTTTTTTTTTTTTTGGTTTTTCGAGACAGGTTTTTAATAGGTCTGGAGGACTCTATAGCCAACAAGGTTTATATATCATCCAGACTAAGAGCTGTTCCTATAGTAGAGGCATCAGCATATATGTCACCTCTCTTTTAATTTATCTTAGTTTCTTCCTTCATGTCTGTAGTCAAGATTTTCAGGGTGTCATCCCAAGTCAAATCTGATATTTATTAATTTTGAAGAATTCATAGCTTTTTGTTTCCCATGGAAACAAAGACATAACCTCGTCCCCTATGTATCACATTTTCTGACTTCCATTCTTATTGTCAGACATCCTTAAAACATAGGTTAGTTTAACTCAGTAGTTTTTTTCCCCACAATCACAGCAGCTGCCATTATTTGTTCATTAGCATTTAAAAAATTCAAAGTCAATCAAGCATCCTACGGGATTCAGATGCCCTGTGTATTTCCCATCCTTATATAGCTTATTCTCTTAATATTATTTTACTCTTTCTTTAAAGACTTTATTATTGTTAAACTTTTTTTCCCTATGACTGTTTATACCCATTATTTTTCTTTCTTTGGCACCTAAGTATATTTTCAAACATACTGTATCTGTTCAAAGGTTGTCTTGGCCTAGACCTGGCTCTTTTCTCCCCCATGACTGCAGCATTGCTCTGACTGTGTGAGCCAAACCTTAAACTGCTAAACCACCCCACTTAGCTCAGCTTAGCATATGACGTTGGCAACTGGCTCCACCCCCTTCAGGTTCATGATTGCCAAGCCTTATTGGCTTGGAGCTGAATTTACCTGCTCAGGTCTGGGAAACTGTTGGGCCTGCGCTGGAGGTGTTTCTGTCTAGTGTCCCATTCTGTCTAGTAGTGCACCATTCAAGTTCTCAGCTGCATAGCAGGACCTTGCTTCTGTGTACTGTGGGTAGTGGGCTCTGTGTACATGCTGCACGTTGGATGGCAAATGTAGTTGGGCTTTCTTATTGAGCTTTCTTTGGACCACCAGTCCTCAAATAATGACAGAGGAATTTATCATTAATTACGAAAGTTTGGCCTTTAGCTTAGGATTGTTCCCAACTAGCTCTTATTACTTAAATTAACCTGTTTCTATTAATCTACATTCGGCCATGTGGCTTTTTACATCGCCTCCATTCTGTAATCTGACCCCTCCACCCTGCTGTGTCTTGCTAGCATCTCTCCCACAACTGGATTCATCTCCTGAGTTCCCCTCTCTTCCTGAAAATCCCACCTATCCTCTCCTGCCTAGCTATTGGCCATTCAGCTCTATTAAACTAAATCAGAATACTACAGACTACAGAATACTTTTTACTCAGAGTGATTGAGTATATCATAACATGAAGGGTTATTTTGCCTCAGAATTTGATAAAATATAATCCACGGTGGCAGGGAAGTCATAGTGGCAGTGATATAGGTGTCTGGTCACTTTGCATCTGTGGTTAGGACAGAGAGATGAATGCTGGTACTCAGTTTTCTTCTTTTCAGTCCGAGAGCATAGACCATAGGGTGGTACTGCCCACATTAAGGGGAATCTTTTATTCTTCAGTTAAACCTCTGAAAAAAACCCTCATGGGTAGGGATAGAGGTGTCAAGATGACAGTATTAACCATCACAAATCCACCTTTTGTCAGTTGGCACTGAGACATTGTTGTAAGCCACACTTTGGGGTTACATTTGTCGTGGTCCAGCCATGATGGGTTCTTATGTTTCAGGGTAGGGGTGCATGGATTAGAAATGTTAGGCAGAATAGACAGAGATACATAAGAAATACAGAGACATAGGATAGTACTGGGAGGAGTGAATACTGAATCCGCCGATGTTTATTTTCCATATGCTTTTATACCCCAGTACAAAAGGGGGGGGGGGAGTAGGGAGAAAGCAAAAGATTGCTGTAACATGACACAAAGGACAACAAGTACAATCACTTGTTTAAATACTTGAGACATCAAGCCATTATTTCCTGAGTAAAGCATTTTTATGTTTTGGACAGGATATATAGTGAATACACCCTAGATCAGGTATCCTGTAGGCTGAAGAATGTGTGGCTCAGCCAACAGTAGGTTTGCTAAGACTATCACTGGTCTAGAGTAATAGTAATGGAAAGTAATAGGCCACCATGGGAAGTGCAGGCAGGCAGCATTCTGAAAAGGCTCAGGGGCCAAGGGGTGTAAGGGTTGTGGTATGTCTGCTCACCACTCTGACCCAGAAGAACAAAGGTGTCATTAAGGCTTATCTACAGAGAAAGTGGCTGAAGTTAGGTTTGTTTAGGTCCAGGTTGGTGGCTGGGAAGGCTCCTTAGAGATCCTTATTCCACATAGCAGATCCCACATGTGCTGGAACTTACTTAGGGTCTTTTCTTCTTGTCCCTCCAGAATCCTCACCAAATGAAGGATACTAAATTTCTACTTGCTTTTAGAGTATGTATTAATGTAGATGGGTAGCTGGCAGGCAGTACACTTATAACTGACAGTTGTACTGTTTCTAGACAACTCTGTATGTTTTAGTAGCTAATTCAATGTGTTGAATATTGCTCAAAATACCAAGAGACATGTGGTGAATGGCTTTTCTCTTCAGAAGTCTGTGGCCTCTGGTCTCACCCTGATACTATTGCTTTTTCCTTTGTTAAGATGCAGCCTCAGAAGCTAGAGTCACAGAAGTACGGTATTCTTGGACTGGCCTGAGTCCCATGCTGAACTTACAGCTCCCTCTGGAAGTAACAAAGGTAGGAAAGAACTGGTTAGAAATCACCCCCATGGATAAATAGCACTTTAAATGTTCTTGAGAGAAAATTAAGTACCAGTTACTAAAAAGGAATCTCTTCTCAATGTAAGGACAAAATATATGGAATATATTTTCCCTGTAATTCAATACCTACAGTTTCTGATTTTTTTATTGTGGCACGTTCAAATTGTGGTAGAAAATTTGAGAAGGAAGTTTCTTGTGGTGAAAGTCTGATGCTCCTCAATTCTTCAATTTCATCCTCTAAGTAGAACAGATTTTCTTCCTTGATCAATCAATGTTTTTTTTTTTCCCACCTGTGTTCCCTACCCTTTACCTATACTTTGTTTAGGGTCTGATATTGGACTCAGTATTTCTCACCAAATTGCTTAGGGCAGTGGTTCTCAACTTTCCTAAGGCTGCATCCTTTTAACATAGTTCCTCATGTTGTGGTGATCCCCAACCATAAAATTATTTTCATTTCTACTTCATAACTGTAATTTTGCTACTGTTATGGATTGTAATGTAGATATCTGTGCTTTCCAGTTATCGTAGGTAATCCTGGTAAAAGGGTTGTTTGACCCTCATAAAGGGTTGAGAACCACTGACCTAGGTGTCATTTGACATAGGGAACTGTGTACAAGGCTTGCCTTTGGCTCTATCCAAAAGGATTCAATTGGTCAAATTTTGGAGCATCTCCTTAGAAGGCACTATTAGGTAGCTATTAATTTTTTTCTGAGGTGTGGATTTTGATTATTTTGGGGGCATCATCTTATTTTTAGTTTTGGTTTCATTTCTCTGATTAGAACTAGCTTTTAATAAATATCATTGACCACCAAAGGCCCAGTTGTGGTTGCTGTCTCAGAGGTAAGGAAAGGTTGAATGCCAGGACATACAGCTGCAGAAAGGAAACCCATTACTTAAATGTGTACAGGTGCCTATTGAAGTAAGTGTTATCCTATAGGGAGCTGGGCTTTGTAGCCCTGCTCTACCCTCTTTAGCCCATAGTAGATGTTCCTGAGGCTCCCTTTAGACTGACACCAGAGGGCAGCAGATGCACAGCCCCAAGTATTTAGGAATGTCTGTCACACTTGTTTGCTCTGGGGAGCTCTTTTGTAGCCCAAGGCACATCATGGACTAAATGCCCTTATCAGATAAATGGCACAAGTCTGGTTTTTGGAATCCACGTCTTGTCATTTCTGGAGCTGTTGAAATCTTATTCAGAAAGCTGTTATGTCTAAATTCTTTAAGAGTTAAAGTGTGAGTATGTGTGTAGGTGTCTGTGGAGGGCAGAGGTGTTAGATCTCCTGGAGCCAAAGGTACAGTGGTTTATAGGTGGCTGTGACTTGCCCAAATGGGTGCTAGGAAGTGATCTTGGATCCTCCCTAAGAGCAGTACTAGCTCCGAACTGCTGAATCATCATCTCTCCAGCCTCTGTGCCTTTATCTTGATAGTAGTTCCATAGTTTCAGGTCTTTAATACAATTTAAGCTGCATGGTGAGAGATGAAGATACAGTTTTATTCTTCTACATGTGGATATCAGAGGCTGAATTTCCCTCTTTTTCTTTGTCCAGCATCAAGTGGTTGTAGTTGCTTGGGCTTATTTCTGGATCTTCTGTTCTATTGCATTAGTCTACTGTCCAAGGAGTTTCCCTAATCTTTTAAGGGATCTCAGCTCAGGCCAAACTAGGATTTATGGCTTTGACACAAAAATATAATTTCAGGACAGGCCAGTCTGAAGCAGAACTGGCGTTTATTTTATTTATTTAGCATGTATGTATGTATGTATGTATACACATGTGTGAGTGCAGATGTGCTATTGAGTGGTGGGGCCAGGCCTTCTGCACACATAAATGTTAGCATGACTTGCAGGCAGCAGCTCAAACCATGGGCATCCACATGAGCTTCAGTGGTAAAATGGACCATAGGCATCAACACGGTCCTTGGCTTTTTTAGGACCACTGACCCACTCATGGTCCTCAGTGTCCCTTACATCAGCATGGTGCCCTGAGACAACAAAGCCCAAGGACATCACCAAGGCATCAGGCAGTGGCACAGACTGCATATGTCCACATGGCTCTCATGACCCCCAACTGTAAAATTGTATTCATTGCTACTTTATAACTATACTTTTGTTACTGTTATGAATTATAATGTAAATATTTTCCTAGATAGAGGTTTGCCAAAGGTTGAGAACTACTGGGTTCTCTAGACTCTAGAGGGTAAGCAACCTTCAAGACTCACAGGAGAGGAGACAGACAGAGGCACCTACAGGAGTGCTGTACCCTCTGGGGCTGACAAGAAAACTGAGGCTGGGGCTGGCTCAGCAAATGAATTCCAGTTTAGAGGCAGCTTTGTTCATGGACATCCCCAGCTACCTCAGTGAAGCTGGAGATTGCTTTGTGTTGAATAAACTTAAAAGGAAAAGAAGTCACACTTCATGGTCTTTATGGTAGCCACTTACTGTATTCTGATGGGTGTGGTGGTTTGGATGTGAAATCTCCCCATGGGCTCATATATTTGAAAACTTGCTCCCCAGTTGGTGGTACTGTTTGGAAAGTTATGGAATCTTTGTAGGTTCAAACTTTCTATGAGGGTTTATAGTCTTGTCCCCTTTCTGCTTGCTTTCTTTACTTCCTGCATGTGTATGTGATTAACCATCTCCTTCAGGCATTCCGTGCCTTTCTCGCCATTAATAGACTCTTTTTCCTCTCTCTGGAGCCATAAGCAAAAATAAACTCTTTCTCCTTTCCAGCCGCCACACTGTGAAATGACCAGCTTATTATTTCATACTCATCATTTGCTTAGAGCCAGCACTTTCCCCACAGTCCTTGTTCCCCATGTCCACTGCATTTTGGCCTTTCTTTTTTCTTGCATTATTGTCCTTCTAAAAAGATACATAATTTAAAGAAATTTCTTTATTAATGTACAGTCATTGAAAACTATATTTTTTAATTTTTGAAATATCTTCATTTTTCTCTTAAGGTCTAGATCAGATTATCTACTTTTTCAGTCCTTTAAATTTATCTTCAGTAGTGATGACAATGAGGGGTAGGAAATGTCTTCATATATTTATGCCTACTTTTCAGGGTCACTATTAACTGTTATTCATATAACACTCTGTGAACAGTGGTAGAATACTATCAAAGGCTTTGATGTACTAAATGATAAAAACCCCTTACTGTATATATTTAATAATAAAAAGTTAGACTGCTACTTAATTAAAACATCAATAATAACCCCCAAGGCAAAAAAGAGACAGAGGTAAATAAAAATTTAGCAAAAAAATTTAAAAATTTAGCACTAAAACATTAGTATAAATGGGTTCATCTTTCTTGTGTGTGGGGGGGAAACAGTCAAGTTAAACAAAATGAAACAACAAACAAATCTACCTCCATGTTTAGAAAACTATATATGAAGGCTGAAAATAATGAGAGATTTTAGGGAAATATTAAAGAAATGAAGAATGAGTGAATAATGACCAGGCAGAATGAACACAGTGCATCAAGCTGATTATTGAAATGTCTGATCTAATTGCATGTAACTGAGGACACTCATTGGTGGGCACTGGTAACTACATCTTTGGACACAGCACCACCTCTCTTGCTCATGCTTTAGGTCTCTCACTGTGCTGCTTGTTAGCTGTACTCAGAGCACAAAATGTTACTCTTGGAAGTACCAAGGTGGTGTGCAGTGGATAGGCTCTTCCTTCCAGATGTTCTTCAGCCGCTGGGCCCATGATTCTACCATCACTTTTCTTTCTTCTTCTGATGAACTGTCAATACCAAAACTGATCTGTGGGGCAAGGACTTTAAATCCACAGAAGTGCAGTATACCATGCTGAAGACAGAAAGGAAAGAACTGATCATAACCACGCTCTTTATGTACACTCAGTTAAATTACTAAACAGAGGAAATGATGTGAAGAAGCCTTCAAAAATCATGAAATAGATGCTACAAAGTAACTGAAAACAACCCATTTCTGGATAGCTGCAGGACAGAGTGCTTCATAAGCAGAAGACCTGGCAGCTGGAATTTAAGACAGATCTTAACTAATGAGTCCATCACTAAACATTACAGTTTTGATGGATTTGTTAAATTCTTCTACTTTGAATGCTATGTACCGAGAGGTTATTTTAGCTATGATGTACTGCTGTAGAAAGTTGTTGACCCTACTTGTTAATTAAAACAAATTTTAAGCAGTATTTCTTTTATACCATTTATGTACAACAATAATAAACAAGTAGTAAACATTTTTATGTAAGGATCTATCTAGGCTACTAGGAAATAAATTACAAGTAATTCTTTCTGGAGGTGTAGATTTAAGTGGACTTTAAAAATATTTTATATTGTTTACATTTTCTTCTACTACATGTTGTTATAAACTGGGGTAAAGTACATGTTTTTAGTCAGTGATATGTATGAGAATGGCTAGCCTTCAGAGGAGGATGCTCACAGCTTGCTATTGCCCTTAATGGAGCAGCACTAATCCACTAATCGTAATCATCTTTCAAAAAGAGCCTAGCTTCTCCCTGGAAATGTCACTTTGTCTTCTGCATGATGCTCTCCAAAACTTACACCCTTATCCAAGCATTACTTAGAGGTGGAGCTAGAGGACAAAAACCTACATACATGTTTTTACATTACTTTCTCCAGACAACATGATTTCATTTATTGGAAATCAGCTCTTTCAAATACACTATTGGAGGCTGGAGAAGTAGCCCAACAGTTGAGAGCACTTTCTGCTCTTGTTGGTAACCAGAGTTTGGTTACTGAACCCACATGGTAGTTCACACCTCTCTGTAACTCCAGTCCCAGAGGTTCTCCCTTCTGTTCTCAGTGGGCACTGCACACATGTGCATGCAGGCAAAACACACATAAAACTAAACACATAAAACAAATAAAATAAATTTTTATAAAAATAATTTATGGGGTTGGTAAAATGTTTCAGTGGCTAAGGGTACAGGCTGCCAAGTCTGTGATGACCTAAGTTTGAT